AAAAACCAACTTGGCAATAAACGAAATTCTGATTCTGATTCTGATATTTCTGTAACTACCACCTTTCTCCTGTAGAGGGCGGTGTCCAACTTTCCTATGTTTTCTCCTGCGTCCTTGAACGACACCGCCCCGCCCACCTGGATCCGCCAGCCAATAGGAAGACGTCTTGACTGTAGGGCACAAACTCTTTTCAAAATAAGAGCATCGTAGCTCGAATCGAAGCTACCTTCTATAGAGAAGAAAGATGCGTGCTTTTATTACGACACGCACACGCATATTGTCGCCGGAAAATCATTTTGAGCGTCTGCAGCGTAGTTGGAGGATTGACGTACTACAGCAGCGATGGCAGCTCCTAGTAGGAAACAGACGTTCAGGTTTCTCAGCCAGTTAGGAGCGTTTATTTTAACCCGCTTCGGGTTTTGGAACTGCTTCAGCATGTTGATGCTGTTTGCCGAACGAGCGGACTCCAAAAGGTAAAACGAGAGAGGTGAAGAGGGCCAATGTGAGACAGCTACCTCGAGCTAACGTTAACGAGCTAACCGCACCGACAAACGTGTGTAAACACAGCTTTTATTTATCTTATAATTAGTGTAATTTTAGGACAACAGGCGTGCTAGCCGACTTCTTTCCTGTCCTTTTTTTTTTATTGAGGATGTAAACCTGATAACTAACCCAACTAATGGGGGTTGTAGTTTAAGTTGCAGCCATATGGAGTTGTTTAAATGAGAAAGACGGGTTATATATTTAGCCTGGTCTGTAATTTTCAGTCGGACAGGACACAGGCTGTAATTTCTCTCAGTAGTAATGGTGCTTTTAATCTCTTCTGTGCACTGGGCGTGTATTGTTTCAGTCTGTGGTGGGTTGGTCTTACTCAGACTACCACACCCCTCTGAATTATCCTGTAATTATAGCAGCTTGTAGGGAAAATGATGTACAGCCTTTATCATACCTGACTTGGTCATTTGCAATAATTCTTTACTTGGTGTTGTGCTGTAAGGGCTCACTAGCCTCTTTGGAAATGATTTTGACAGTGAGTTGGGTCATTTGAATTAAGTCCATGTGCTGCTTACAGCTTCATAAAGGCAAACAGCTGCATGTGGTTCTTCATTCTTTACCATTAAACACAGTAGCCTCCTTTAGGGTGGTTCACTGCTGGACTCTTTTACAACACTTTGGGGTTTTCTTTTGGGTTGAACAGTAGTAGATCCTTTAATTCAAACTGATTTAGATTCCTCTGTCCCTCATGAAGGGCCGATTTGGGATTGAAATGTACATTTTTTGTGAGTCTTTTGTGAAACAGAAAAAAGCAGTTCAGCTAAAGTTACATGAATATTAATTATATCCTGTAAAAGTGTTGTCAAAATAATTATTTGGATTTTCTAACACAAAATCCTGTAATAAAAAGCATCTAAGATCTTATACAGCAGCAGTTTTTCACAAAAAAATGCTATCATTCATTTAGATATTATATTTAATCCGAGAGATTATGAACAACACTATTGAGTAATTGTTCTGCAGTATTGTTAATATAACAATAAATGAGCAATCACAACAGTTTATAGATGAATTGTTAACATAAATGATCAGTAGTTAGTTGCAGCCCTAGTGCAGAAACAAGTGTATTGTCAATGCAGCAGAAGCATCCCAATGCATAGTACAGTGTTTGCCCACCTCTACAATACACAATATGCATCGGACTGTCAAAAATAAAGCAGTAGCTACAGAAGTGAAAACAATAGAGTTTTATTTAAAGTTCTTTTGATTCATTCTCCTCTGCAGGAAGCCAGACATCCATGTACCGTACCTGTACGTGGACATGGGGGCAGCAGTGCTCTGCGCCAGCTTCATGTCGTTTGGGGTGAAGAGGAGGTGGTTTGCGATGGCCGCTGCTATCCAACTGGCCGTCAGCACTTACGCGGCGTATATTGGAGAGCAGGTGTACTACGGGGACTGGCTTAAGGTGAGTCACCGTCTGTGGTTTACAGCAACAAAGCTGCTGTTCAGTTACTGGACTCAGCATCATCTTCTCCCTGCAACCTGCTTTTTGTTCACTGTTACTGTTTTCTAATATCAGTTATGGTATTGCAGGCTGGCCTTTCCTCTGGTTTGGCTGACTGTAGGTTGTTGTAAGCAGTTTCACAGTTTTGAAGCAGCTGATAACAATCAGCAAATATTTATCTTAATGTTTCAGTAATGACAAACATACATTTATATCAGGCGATTTGACGATAAGTGTCAACAACAGGGGGAATGTTTGTTTTAAGTTGTAAGTTTTTTATTAATATGAAGACCACAGTGCAGCACAAGACAACATCAGATAACAAAAACAAGCACACACACAAGTAGGTACAAATCAAATATGACATATATATACACAGTGAAAATAAAAATGTGAATAAAATAAATAAAAATATTTATTTGCTATTATGTTTGTTTATATAAATTAGAAAATGAGACCAGACTTTATAGAAATGTCCTCGATCGTTATCATACCTGATCATAGATTCAAAGCTTCTTTACATGTTCATTTTAAGGTTCTTTACAGGGACATTGCTACTGCATTGAACTCTTCAAATGAGCTTTTAAACACTTCTGGTTTACTTTCTGTTGGCAATGAAGCAATGTTTCTACTGCAGTCTCACCTGCTGAATTCTGACTGTTCGGGCCACAGTTCAAACTGCCACAGAATCAGATATAGAAACACATTCAAAAGTGGCCCAGATTAGTGGTGAGATATTAAGAACAGATCTGTGTCACGCAAAATGGATCTGGGCCACCGTAGAAGTTTGAAAGTAGATGGTTTCATCAGCGATTCTAAACGTATATTACAGCCTGATCATTGCTGCCCTGCAGGTACGAATGTATTCCAGAGTGCTGGCCATTATCGGAGGCTTCATGGTTCTGGCCAGTGGGGCGGGGGAGGTATACAGACAGAAACCTCGCAGCAGATCCCTGCAGTCGACTGGACAGGTTTTCCTGGGAGTCTACCTCATCTGCATGGTAAGATCTAGTCAGCTTTATGGAGTATTTGCATGTGGCTGGAGATTCTGACTCGAACAGTCACAGGATACGTTTCGTAACTGACTGAAGCTCCTATCCAAATGACCACATGCTGTTTTATAGCACTGTAAACTCACTATCTTTGGGTTTTAGATTGTTGCTCAGACAGAACAAGATATTTAAAGACGTCAAATCGGGCTCTGAGAAACTGAAGCTCATTTTTCATCATTTTATGAGATTTTATAGATTAAATTATGAATCAAGAAAGAAATAAGTAGATTAATTATTAATGAAAAGTTATTAGTTGCAGCTATTGTCTTAACAAGCCAAGTTAAAGATCACAATTCATTTTGTGATCATTAAATATAAAAAAGACCTATTTGGAGTCAATATGTACAAACCAGATAATCATCATCCTTTTGAATAATGCTTCTTTTCTGCATAAGTCAAATGAATCACACCGTCACATATAATACTTTATTTAAGTTAAAACAAATCAAAGCCTGTTTTCAGTGTCATTTTAAATGACGCAGTACCACTTCCCCCCCACTAGGTGTACTCCCTCCAGCACAGCAAAGAGGACAGGCAGGCCTATCTAAACCACATCGTGGGAGGAGAGATCACTCTGATGCTGCTGGAGGTTCTGTTCGGGGTGCTGGCCCTGGCCTTCCTGTCCGGCTGCTACATCCGCCTGGCCGCACAGATCCTGGCCACCGTCCTGCCTCTGGTGATCCTGCTCATCGACGGCAACCTGGGCTACTGGCACCACACCCGCAAGGTGGAGTTCTGGAACCAGATGAAGCTGATAGGACATAACGTGGGCATCTTCGGCGCTGTGTTGATCCTGGCCACCGACGGTTGAACCCTCGCGCTCTCACAGAGAACTTTTACCGACCGAGGTGTCTGCGCAGGACGAGACTGATGGCCTTTACGGCACAGCCCGACTTTGTACCGAAGGCTGCCGTTGCTCAGTGACCTCTCAGGATATTAAACACTCCAAGCTGAGACTGTTGGATGTAAGCAGCGTCGATTGTCTTTACCTACCAGTTGGTAACTTTTGCAAGAAAAAGAAAAAAACACGAGCTTCCTTTTTAGCAATTTAATAATTTATTCAGATTCATGTTTACATTTTTGTCTCTGTTGCGCTCTGAAACATGACACTGAGTATAAGTACTTTATACCTACAGGGGGAATACCTTTTACTCCAAAAATTAAAGTCTTAAATGGTTTGATAATATTTTACAAATAAAGGGAAAATTTATGCTGTCTTGTCTGTGGAATGGGAGGGTTACATTTATGGCCATTTGGTGATAAACACTTGCTTTCAACTTGCATTCATGTGAAATTCATTAAACTGAATAAGCACAGCTGTTTAATCTGTGTAAATAGTAATAATTTTATATGAAATGACTTAGTTTAGTTACATGATGGAAGTTCTGAGTTTGAGTATTTTGATCATTACAATAATTATTTCACTTTATTGTTCAAACTGTAATTAAACTGCAGTACTGTTTATGATGATCTATCTACGACCACCTCAACTTTCCATAAAACCATGTCAGCGTAGCACAGGATGAAAGGCTGAATGTAACCGACGCCTCAGACTAAATTGGATTTGGAGCTAAAAACGTATGTCGTCCAATACAGTCCTGCAATGAATCCTGCCTTAGTGAAGGTTATTGTGTTCAGTTTTTGTTTTGGAGAGGTGTTGCTGTATGGTCATTTTGGAGGATGTAGTTTATGGTGTTGTATTATACTGACAGCACTTTCTGTTACTGAGCCTGACCTCATTGAAACAAGTGTGCTGGACAAAATATTAAAAACACCTCTCTGTATAAAACACTACGATTAAGTAGCACCACAAACTGAGAACGTTTTTCTCTTGAGACTAAAAATGCATTATTAAGTCATTCATATGTGCAAGCCAGAATTAAGTTATTTATGCAGTTGTTTCTCTTTTGCCATTAAACAGTTTCAGTGTAGATGTTAAATAAATGTTAATCTCACTGAGATACTTTAAACCTGTCAGGTTGTTCAGTTCTGGCTGAGAATAGTTTTCTTTTGTTCCTTTTTTTACCATTGTTGTAATGATAAAGTTTATTATTGTTATAATATATAATAAAATGAGGGTTGAGCCAAATGTCCATTGCTAGTATCAGACTTAATTACCGGTTATTAGTCCATCCATGATGGTGTGACCATTGTTATCACTTGTATTACTGCACAGCCAAAATAAAAAGGTTAGTAAGTTCACCACCTACAAGAAAGATGAGATACTGGAACACAATCAGTTCTCCAAATTCCAAAGGACGTCATTAGAAGAGACAGATGTAGTTAGATGGTTTCAGAGATGTCAAATGGTGATCGGAATTTCAAAAATGTTTGAAGATGTACCGTCAGTAACCTGTACTAACCACCACACCCACATCTATAGAAAGAGGTTTCTTGGCTGTTGCTTGGCTCAAGTTAGACACCTCTTCAAACTGAATACTTGGCGACTGTTAAAAAAAGATACGCACATTTAAAGGAGTTTTAAAGGGCTATTCTGTACTTAAATTAAGTAAATTAAAGAAAGCTTTAAAGGAGATTTAATTGTAAAGTGAAGTCAGATCATGTGGTCTAAGGGCTGGATGAAACATGATGCTGTGTGGTTGGATACAATCTATTATGCAACAACGTCCAATACATGGTCATGAATAAAACACATCATTTTTCTTGTCCATCTGACTCTGCATCACTGGCAGCTTGTTTGTTCTTACGGTTGTGCTCTGCTTTGACCAGGGCGCCAATCACAGCGAGCATCACCGTGATGGTGATGACGAGCACTGATGCTGTCTCAGTGACACACAGCTGGCTGTCCAGCGACGCCAGGGAGCTCCCGGCTTGCTGAGCAGGAGCATGACAGATGATGTCCTTGTAGTCGTACACCAGCAGATGTCGAACGCGATGGATCTTGACGAAGACGCGCTGCAGCTCACAGTCACAGATCCAAGGGTTGGAGGACATCTGAAGGTGGGTTGTGGTGGTCTGGAGCTTCAGGAAGGTCTTGAACCTGATGTGCTGCAGCTGGTTTCCCTGCAGGCCCAGCAAAGTCAGACTCCGCAGAGGAGCCAGAGCTTCCGTCTCGATCGCTGAGATGTTGTTGTGGCCCAGCAGAAGCACCTCCAGGCTTTGCTGCCTGCTCAACAGGCCGTCTTTAAGCACGTTCAGCTTGTTTCCTTCCAGGTTAAGGAGGCTCAGTCGAGACAGGCCGCTGAAAGTCCCGACATCCATCGCCCGGATGCGGTTGTAACTGAGGTCCAGTTTCCTCAGGTTTTCAAACTCACCCAGTGAAGCGGAGTCCAGGTGCTGCAGCAGGTTGTGGTCCAGCCGGAGCTCCTGCAGGGAGGACAGACTCTGAGAGAAGTCCTGAGGGAGCCAACGCAGCTGGTTAAAACTCAAGTCCAGCCTCTCCAGGAACTCCAGTGATGACAGAGACTGAAATGAAAGAGGACAGAAAATAGGCCTCATGCTGAAATCATGTCTCAAAAACAGTGGTGAAAAGTAACTAAGTACATTAACTGTACTTAAGTACAATTTTGAGGTACTTTACTTGAGTATTATATGGTAATTACTGGTTCATACTCTTCTACATTTCAGATGAGGATATTGTCCTTTGTACTACATTCATCAACAAGTAATCCAAATTAGTCATTTGACAAAAAGTAATAGGCAACAATTTTGATAATCAATCAATCCCTTTACTCATTAATCAGGAAAAAGTGCCAAACATTTGCTGCTTTTCTTGGTTTCATACAGTAGTGGAATGTGGAAAGTATATTTACTCAAGTACTGCACTTTGGTACTAATTTGAGGTACTCAAACTACTTCTACTTCTATCAGAGGGAAATATAAATTTTTCTTCATAAAGATACCTTTATCTAACTTAGTTAGTAGCTTCTTCACAAATTAAAATGTCTGTTAAACAAATCAAGAGATTATAAAATATGATGTTTAGTCATAAATTAAACTATAGAACAGTTTATGTAAGTATATCTGATTAGTCAAGTAGTCAACTGACATAAAAGTATGTAAAAATGGCTCATGGCTCCAGCTTCACAAATGTGAGGATTTCTGCTTTTTATTTTAATTAATACTTTAAATGTATTTTTAATTATTTTGAGGTTTGGATTGTTGGTTGGACAAAACAAGCACTAGAAAGGTGTCACTGCGGACTTCGAGTAGTTGTGACGGCATTATTTTGCTCACTATTTCAGAATTGTTACAAACTAAACAATTAATTGGTTAATGGAGAAAACAATCATCACATTAATAAATAATAAAAATAACACAATAAAATTGCACAAAGTAATTAAAAATTAGGTCCTACTTTGACATTGATGCTTATATAATAATAATAGTATAACAACCACAGGGGAAATTTTTTTGCATTGAGCACTGAGTGACTACTTTTATAAAGTACATTTTCATGATTATATTTATTATATATATTATTGTAAAGGAAAAATCTTTGGTTTTGAACTGCAATTGAACACCTCAGTTTGGGCTCTGAGAACATGTGCAGGCACTTATTACCATTTTCCGACAAATTGTTATATATATATATATATATATTTTAGATTAATTAATTATGAAGCTAATCATTAGTTGCAGCCCTATTTCACAGCTTTAGTTAATGGTTAGCACTTTATACTTTAAGATTTCATACACACAGATCAACTTAATTACAACTTGAATACAAAATATGGTGCCTATTTAAAGAGTGGACTATCATATATTAAAAATTATATATTAAGTAAGTATAATATAAGTATAAATCGGTTCCCACCCCTCCAAAAGCTGCAACACTACCATGCTGCTTAGTCTGGTCTAAACTAAAGTATTGAGCACAGAATATACACAATAAAAGTGAATGCGAGGTTTTGGTTTTCGGGTACCTGTGGCTGCAGAGTTTGGATGCTGTTGTTGGACATCAGGAGGATCTTGAGTGACCACAAGCCTACGAAGGATCTGGTGCGTACCTCCGTCAGCTTGTTCCCACTTAAGTCCAGCAGCCAGGTGCCATGGGGGACACTGGGAGGGACCCACACCAGACCTCGAGACCGGCAGTCCACCAGGTCAGAGGATTCATAGCACAGGCAGTGGCTGGGACACAGCTTAAAGCCCAACACGGTGTTCAGGAGAAGAGGCAGCACACAGAGCATCGTGCAGCCACCGACAGGCATCTTCAGCTTAGATCAGAGTCTCATCACTCCTGCTGAAAGGCCCAGTTACCCTCCTGCATGTATCTCCCTCAGAGCAATACCAAAAGAACCTGTTTCAGTGGCAGGATATCGATGTCATTTCAGTAAATTCACTATGAGCAGACACTGAATATTTTAGAGAGGGGATTATGGGCTTAAACAGATAATCACGAAACATGACCATATCTGAGGAACAAACCTGCTGTTTTGGACTCTTTCCTAAAGTAAGGATTTACATCTGTTACTGCGTTTGCAGAGTTTTTACTTTTTCCTGTTTGCTTTATCTTAGCATTCAACATCACATTACATAAGATTATATGGATATTTCATAACTAAATCTTTTGAGTCACAGAGGGAATCAGTTTGTTACCGATTATGGGAATGACGACATTGATTTTAATTAGGAACATGATTTTAATCCGTCCCAATGTAATGACTGACCTCAAAATTATGTCTGAGTATCTTCTGTAAATTAAAAATTTAATCTTTTTTTTTTTTTTTTTAAATCAAACCAGCTTTTTTTCAAGTATGACCATGTTCATGTTTTCTGTCCTCTATGAAAATAAACTCAATATTTTGGGGGTTTTGTACTGTTTCTCAGACAAAACAAGACATTTGATTTACTCAACTGGATCTTTAGGGAATTGCGACGAGCGCTTTTCACCATTTTCTGACATTTTACAGACAAAACTGAAAATTCTTACTTAGACCTACTTTTAAATCACAAGTCATCAGTGAACAAACCACATAAAACCACATCAGCCTACCTTAAATCTTTGCTGTACTTCCACTCAGACACAGAAATCACTGCTCTTCTCAAGTATTTTCCAAGTGCAGCTACATTAGTTTTAACTTTAACTACATATTTCAATAAAGATTCACAGTCCGGATTTACTGTCAGGTGCTCTTTGTCGCCCAGAGGACAGCAGTAAATGTCATCAAGCAGCTTTAGAGCAACCAGAGGCTTAAGACATTTAAATAATTAATTTGAAACCGTGATGGCTTCAGTTCCCTGTAGTTACACGGATGGATCGCAATCAGACGACCAAACAATCCCTGAAAAGAAACCTGAGCATTGTCCATAAAAAGGTGGACGATGTGGCAGCCTGACCCGTCACCCAGAGGACAGTTAAGGACGACTGTGATTGTCACGTTTCCAGCAAACCACAAATATGCACGCTCAGTGTTTTACCCTCCGCGTGTCCCACAGCTGACACATATCCAGTGATTCCTATTATCTCATTATCTCAACAAAGAAAGCGATTGCATAGATCAGTTAGTTCATTCTTCATTAGACCATTAAAAAGCTGTTGAAAATTACAGTATTACAGTCAGAATTTTTGTTACTTTTATTTTAGAAAATGTCCTTTAAAGTGTGGCATTTCAAGTCACATTTTGTTTAAAATACAGAAAATACAGACAGTAGAACATGGATACAGCAAAAAAGGAAACAATGACAGAAAATAAAGCTAACAAGCCTTTCTGACTGCTCTAGTTTTCTCTTTTTGAAATGGAACTGAAGGCAAAGGAAGGAGGGTGGAAAAAGAAAAAGGTTTCAGGGACAGGGGGGAGGAGTGGGGGCAGAATGAGACAAGTTAGTTAAGGAAACTATGGTTGCTTTATGGTTCATGTTTAAATTATTCTTTATAAAGTCTAATTTAAGATTTAATCTTTCCTCTTTCTTTTTTGTCTTTTTCATTTAATGGTATTTTGATCTTCTGTATCCAGGGCCCTCAGCGCTCCTCCTTGTGGTCTCAGACTGAGGACAAGGAATGCCGACTTAGTCTGGCAGTGGGAACAAAACCACCCGCGTCGCCTTCCCTGGCCGACCCACACTGCCAACTCAAGAAGATAAAGTGGAGTCCTTCTGTGTTTGCTGTGCTTGTGAACGTTGCATGGACTTCTGACTTTCCACGTCTCTAAAATGTTTCTCAACCTGCAAGGACAAAACATGTATGAACAATATGGACAGAGATTCTGTACAAAACAAACCTTAAAACATACGTATCTAAACAAGGAGCACTCGAAGCTGCCCGATCTACCAGCTGGGGCGTCCTGATAAACTTTGACGATTTGAATCTCGTGCTGTCAGAACGATATATAATAATATTCAAACAGTTAAGTACTTGTGCAGGTAGGTCAGGTGTGAGAGGCTACGCAGGGCTTCTTTCTTTGGTGCTTATATTAAAACAAGTTCTGCCACTTCTCATGTGTACATTAGCGCACACTAATACTATGAATGCCTTCCTGGAAAGAGTGTCTGAGAAAGCTGCCTGGAAACACTCACACATTTTAAAAGTGCATTTAATGGCGTTATGTTCTCCATTTTGGGGTTTGGTTGAGCTAAGTTAATAATTTTCACACCGAAAAACAAAAATAACGTGTGAATCTCATTTTAATTCGTACAGCAGTAAAGTTATGCCGGAAATAACGTGACTTCACCGAGACCTACGCACCAATGGCATCGAAATTTGATCATGATTTACGATTTTGGGCAAACGACGCCAAAACTAATAAAAATCGGGGGGAAACATTGTTTACAGTCTGCGTATTTCCGTCGCTCCCACAGCACGCACTGCAACACGAGTCATCGCTCGGTTTACTCGCCGTTCCGACCTGTCGCGCCGACAACGTGAAGCACGGGAGCGCCGTCACTATTTATACTTAGGTCGCGACACTCGCTGCAGTCTTCTCCCTGCAACACGTTGTTTAAACAGGTAACGAGGGAAAAACTTACAATGTTTACGGAGGAGGAAAGTGTAAACTAGAGGACTCAATGACTGCAGTGTTTTTAGACACAAATGTCCAATAAAATGCAGCATGTTCTGAGTTTAAAAATCGATGGATATTTATCACAAATATCGTGATTTAGATTATTACAATTATTAATTTATATTAATAAACACATCTAAAAATAATAATCATCCTACCAATGGCTGTGCATCACTTCACAGCTAGAGGTTAGTGGCACGTGTGCAGGAACTCAAATGGAGAGCAGATGACAGGAGTGACACTGAATCTCTACTGGCTGACAGCCGAACAGCAGCAGACGCTGTCGTCAACTTTAAAACTTTAACCTTTTTCCCGCTTTTAAGTGTCGGCAGGGAGCGTACAATGGCTTTGACAGGGAGAGCGAGGAAGACACGTGCTCACATTGTCCTGAAAAAGAGGTCCAATCAGGCGACTCAAGTTCAAACTCCTATGTGGGTTAGTGAGTGTCGAAGCTTTAAAGTTCAGAAACACTGACACATACAGACCGATTCTGCTTCCAGGTTCCCAAACTACATTTCTGACAGTTAACTGAAAATCGTTTGAGGTTGTTGTTGGTGAAATATCGTACAGATATAAAAGCATACTTACTATTTTGCGTACATGACTTAAAGCGCTTCCCTCTTTGCCTTTGCAGTTCTCAACCTGGTAAGGCGGCGAGATTACGACGTCGTCCATCACAATAATGTTCTTCTCCTGCCATTTACAGTCTTTGATGCTGCAAAGAAAAAGCAAACAGCTTATCAGCAGCTGAGTGAAGCAAACGATGTAAAGGAACTGGAAAGGCGTGGACTGTGGATTTTTCCTCACATTCGTTTTCCACAGACTTGGTTATAACACAGTATCCAATAACATGACTAATAGTACGTCAAATACGTTGCATAACTACAATCGACAGATATTTGTAGCTAAATGAAAGTGAAACTATATCTCACTAGATAAGTTTCGTGTTGAGTGAATTGGTCACTGGGGGAAAAGAAAGAAAAAAAACAGGGAACAAAAATAGGATTTTACGAGACAATCTACTCCGCAAGTAACAAGAAATATGCACGTGTCTTAAAAAAAGACGGATTTAATCTCGGCGTGACAACTTACTATAGTTGACTGTCCACAAAGAAGGGAAACACCCATACAGGTGTCCAATTACAGTCTGATGTGAGGCTAAAATAGGTCTGATCAGATATCTGAGAAGAACATCGGATACCATCCATGTCGCATAACGAACGTACGTTTGACACAAAGTTTAATTAACTTTGTCAGACAGCCACAGGACAGACGGAGGAAATTATTTCTGTTTTGTTGTCTAAAAAACTGAAGTTAGGGATTAAAACCAAGCTGTTTTACATCTATAGTGTACCTTTCTTTCTTTCTACCCTTATTTAAACTGCTCTTGGATCAGCTCTGACACCTGACAACAAAAAGGGTTTTAATTAAATAAAGTGTGATACAGGAAGAGGCGAGATATCTGGAATATGAGTTTGTCTTTGACGGATTTAAAAGTGGAAAAGAGGCGAAGTAGTCGAGTCAGTCAGAACAAATAAAAGGAGGCAAAGCTTCCTCAATGAGCACACTTAGTTTGGACACTGATGGAGAATCACTGAAGGAATAAAACGAACAGTGTGAAGTTCTTACGTTTTGTGAATAGTCTGGAATAGCTGTTGGCCCTCCACAGAAACCCCAGCACTGATTGCATAGGCTTGGGACAGCTTGTCCTCCTTTTCTGTCCGTGCTCGATTGGCAAGCTGTGAAGAGTTAAATCAGAACAGAAGGCATTCTTACTGTCAAACATTACTCGCTCCGACAGCTTTGAACCGGGAACAGGTGACCAGTTAATCACAAGTGGACTTTACACGGACACTTTTCATTTATTTTAGCAATGTTAAAGTTGTTTTTCCTGCTGTTGTGTCCCAATTCAGGGTGTGGATCCTAACTAGTCCGTATTTCTACACAGAATCATCACAGACGGACAACGGCAGGGACATTTCACAGGCTTATCTTGCCCAAATTTGATGTACAGCGCCTGAACGCATCGTTAGTTTTATCCTTTTAGGGATCCAGGCCCCCGAACGGAGTCACAGCTCAATAAATAAGCTGCATTTTCAAGCTCACATACAGTTTCTAACTTTTGTTTCACCTGGAAATGAACCCTTCCCCATTTACACTCACCACCACCAACGAAGACACGCACGTAAAGAGGACAGAAACACAGTTAACGGACTCACCTTGCTAACATTCAGTGATGCTAGTGGGGGTGGAGTCTCGGTGCGGTCATTTATTATGTCCACATCAGAAACATAGGCTAAGTTGATCAGGATGACGTCGTTGAGGTTCGGCTTTCCGCTGGAGGAAGCACACTCTTTGAAAAGAAGTCAAGGCGGCACACAACTTCACGGCAAATGCATCGCAGAACAATAATGAGCATCGCAATCCGACCCCCGATGAACCTGAACAGAGAGGCTTAAGATACGGAGAACACTGGCTGACTTACACCGACGGTGAACGGTTGTGCCTGTTACAGCGTGCGGTCAGCAAAGGCAGTGCTGCCACCTGTCGTAACCACGGAGGAAGAGAGACATGTTGGATGTGTGTTTAAATTGACGTACAGATCATTTACATACATGAAAAGGAGCAAATGAAGTGTTCCCTTTCTGTGATTTTGAATGAGAAGTCTATGAGATTAGGTTTCTTTAGAGTCAATTACCTGATTAATCAAACAAACTCAACTGTGGGATCTTGATGAGAGCAGTCGGATGAAGTCTCAGGAACATTTTGAGAGAAAAAACAGCTAAATTTTGGACTTTTATACAGAAACGTGTACAAAAATTAACAGGAAAATGTTGTAAATGTGTCTGTGGCCCCAAAGCATTTACCCCACTTGTCAGACTTCTCTCTCTTTCTCAATATTTTACACCAATTTGCTAAATATTGCTGGTACGCGCCAAGTTATCTTTAATTTATTTGGTTCATTGATATAAAACAACATAAAAGCACAAACTAGGAGAGGGTTTGACCCGTTTTGACAGCGACCACATGACCGTAAAAGTTTGACCCAAGTAGTAAAAGTAAACGGCTCAAACTTCAAGCCAAATGTAATTTAAATGTACAATCTGGTCTCATCTTTGTTTCAATGTGAGCTATATATAATTAACTATATTTAAAGGCCTACAAAAGAAAGCTTCATATAAAAATCCAGGTTTTTTTCATAGTATATTGCTGAACTGTGGCTCTTTTCTGACTGTGATGTTAGTCCAGTGTATCTCGGATGGGACTTAAACCATTTAAACAAATATATATATTAAAAAAAAAGGCCTCTGATGCAAACTGTCAAACCTCCACACTGTATTAAACTTTAATTCATCTGGTGTCTCAACCAAACACCTCGGTCACTACAAGTCTTAGGTCAGTGTAAGTCATGAGGAGGAGGCAGCATCTAAATAATGTTAATACTTTTACACACACACACACACACACACACACAGAGGGCAATGAATGGGTGTAGACACCGAGCAGGCTAACTCATGCTCAATCTCGTTGAAACGAAACATCACTCTGGCACAATTCACCCCCGTTAATAATCCCCGAATTACATTCTCACGAGAATCGAGTGAGACATAGTAAAATAAATAAAAAAAAAGGCTCAGCTGGTGAGCTCGGGAAGGCTAATACCGTGCGGGGTTGACCGAAACTTAGCACGTTAGCGCCGCGGCTAAGAGCAACTCGGTTGTAGCGTGGACGGGTACTCGGTGTCCATTCATCACCAACCGTCGGAAAATAACCGTTAGCGTCTCCGAGCGACGAACCGCCAACCAACGGTCGAGGGGTACAAAAAAAAAAAAAAAAAAAAAAATCTGTGCACGCGAAGCCGGAGCGAGGGGCGCTCGAACGTCAGTTAGCCTCGCGAACTAGCGGCGGTTGGTGCCCGTTGAGAGCACACAGCCATGATGCCTTAACTACAGGGATCCGCTGCCAGATAGTGATCCATGTTGAGGTCTGGCTAAATACAATGAGTGGATTCAAAACACATGCACTCCCCGAGCAGGGTATCGCGAAGCCGTGAGCTGACCCGGCAACAGCAATAGTGGCTCAAACGGATACGAGGTGGATGCGCGGCTGGGGCAGTGAGTGGAGATGTTTTAAAACGGACAAAGATATGCAGCTCGGCTACCACCAATTACGCCTGCGCGGATCACTATTTGACATATTTTTTCGGTTACCCTACAGGCCCTTGCAGCCAGGCAGGCCAGCAAGCCCGCCCGGCAGCTCGAAACAAACAAAGGATACTCAGAGTTAACATCTTGGACTGGTAGTCAAACGCGACCACTTCTCCCTGTAGACGTTGGCCCAGGCAGGTGAGGCAAGAGACATGGCTCCCGACGCTGAAATACTCCCCCGGTCCAGGAGCCGCCATCTTCTCCGCCAGGAAACCGGAGCGCCTGCCTTACGTAAAACGACGCGATGTCGTATGGAGACGGAAACCTGGGCGTGTCGAAGTACGTCGCGCTGTGGTCATTTTTATTATCGTAGTACGGTGAATTATATTTGCATTTTAAACATGTGTAAGCCCCGCGTCGTGTCGTGTCATCACACCGTCTGCTAAGTGATTTTAATTGTGAATTAAATGTAAATGTAATTTAATTCATCGAGGTAAAATGCGGCTTTGTCTCGCTTTGCGGTCCACGTAAAGTGCTCCCCCCCCTACTGGAGGTTTAATGGTACTGCCCGCTTTGCTGCAGCACTTCCTGAAGTCACAAAAATAAATGAGGATTGCATATTGATTGTTTTATCATTTTTAAAAACATATGTATTGAGAGAGGACTCGGGCATGGAGGCCGTGTACACACAGGGCATCTGGATGGCCGAAAGTCTCCAGCAGAGGACGATAAGTCAAGAGAAAACGTGGCAAGTCATCACTCATATTGGAGATCCCAAAGCTGCCTTTCTGCTCGTCTTCCCCTTCACATACTTCATCAGCAAGCGAGCTGGAGTGGCGGTGCTTTGGGTGGCAGCTGTGTCGGAGTGGTTGAACCTGGTGTTTAAATGGTAAGGCATGTTTTGAACACGGTCTTTAAAGTGTGTGTCTATTTTCTCACACACTGTTTCTAGCGTGAAGCTAAACGCCGTGTCGGCATCGGAAGCAGTTAGTGTCAGGCGTAAAGCTACAACCACAACTGCACTTGTTTTCTTTATTCGGTTTTTTTTTTTATTCGCAGTAATTAAGTTAAAAAAAACAATTATATGTTTTATTCTGTTGACGCCGCAGCTTCCGGGAATCCATCGTGACCGGCGCTGTCCGACCGTGCGCACAGTCCGAGGGGAAACAACAGCGGAACCTTGTACACACAGCACCCATAGATATATATTAAGAACCGTGTCTAAGAAAAGGGACAAGAGTGGTCATAAAGTAACATTGATAACATTGGTTACTCATCATAACAGAATATTAAGATATAATAAGATTATTTATATATAAATATATATATAAATATGAATCCGGGGGACTCAAATAGGGAATGTGCTTTGTTAAAACAGATTGTCTGCACACACAAACACACACTCCACACCACAAATGGTATTACTGTTACTGTAAAGTGGATGAAACAGAATGCAAGTGAAATATCACAAATTAAATTAAAACATTTTTAAAAACAGCTCAGATCTTTTTGTTTGAAATATGTGTCCGATTATATTAAACCCTCGGAAACTGGGAATAGATGTTCATGTTTGTTGAATTCCAGCATACATGGGAGTATAACAAGAAGCAAGAATGCTGATAAACTGGCAAAATGAGAATTAGGAATTGTGACAGTAACGTTTTTAGAAATAATTTTTGATACGGCTGAAGCAAAAGCATTTATGTACCATGAAATAATGAAATCTCAAAGGGAAATATGGGATAAATACAATAAAGGAGTGCGTTATTGTAGCTTTAGAAGTTGTAGCGGTTGGTGTAGAAAAGAAAATGTAATTTTCTTCTTAATTAAGGTGAGGAAAGTTCAGTGTAGAAAGAGTACGACTTAAGGATAGGGTAATAGAAACTGTAGGAAAAAGGATAGTTGGACAAACAATGTTATGAGACTTATAAACAGAAATAGATTTAATATCCAGAGTGCAAACACTACCTAAAGTCCTGATGTTAGACACTCGTACAGTAGGTGGCGGCATGCACCTTCATGATACATACATTTACTTTTACTAACTTACTGTATACTTTGTGTTGTGAATTCAATTTCTCCCAGGATGCTGTTTGGAGAAAGGCCATTCTGGTGGATCGGTGAATCACGTCTGTTTGTCAACAAGCAACCCAAAGTTCACCAGTTTTCCTCCACCTGTGAAACCGGCCCAGGTGAGAAGTGAGAAGTGTTTCAGTCGTAGTCGGCACACTTGATTTATTGCACTCAGTAAGCTCTAAAGCCGGCGTCTGTCTCCCAGGCAGCCCGTCGGGACATGCGATGGTGACGGCAGCAGTCTGGTGGGTTGTGGTGTCCTCACTGGGGTCATTTCTGTACTCACGTACTCACAGGTACGCCCATGTATTATTTTAAACAAATGTGCTGTTTTTAGCTTTGAAAACTGGAGGATATCAGAGCTATTGTTTAGGGAATCTCTCTGTGTTTCTATCTTCACTGTGCCTCCAGCTTGGTGTTGTCAGCTGCCCCCTACCTGCTGTATGTGGTGATGCTGGTGGCGGTTGGAATCTCCAGGATCTTTATCCTCGCCCACTTCCCTCACCAGGTCATTGCTGGCTCCATTACAGGTCTGAATACAGTTCAGTGCACTGAAACAGTATGGGTAGGCTCTGTATATGTAATTTTACATAAAAAAAAATATCTTCCTAATTAATACATTTCCTGAAAAATCAGTTAAGACATCACAAATGAGTAAAATAACCAGAGAGTAATGGCTGATTTTGGCTAATCTATTGAATTAAATGCCTGACAAGTACTTTTTCCACACTGATGCAAAAATCATTTGAATCCGAAATTACCATAAAACCTTTTGGCTCTCTGATTTGCAACAATTCTCACTGTAGCATAATACAGTCAGAGATGTTAACCACAGTATAAACGGCACAGAAAATCTCTGACAGGTGAAATAAATGTATATTCTCTCATTTTCATAGCTTTTCTTTTCTGCCCTTTGTTACCACAGAGGTTAAGTGATAGCAAATTTGAACTGATCGAATTGTTCTTGTCAGGTTTAATTCTGGGGATTGTTCTGAGCCGCAGAGTACCAGAAGGTCGCCCCCTGCTGTTCTTCTTTTGCCTCAGCATTGGTCTGCTGCTCAGTACTCTGATGCTGCATGCTGGACTGCAGCAGCTGGGAATCGACCTCTCCTGGTTAGCCGTTTTATCATACTTATGTGTATCGATGAGTCTGTTCAGTGCATAAAAAGCTCTGTGAGGGGAAGTTGTAATTTTTTTTTTTATTCCACAGGTCTATTGCTTTGGCTAAGAAATGGTGCAGCCATGCGGAGTGGATCCGTTTGGATACAGCCCCATTCTCCTCTCTGACTCGAGACTGTGGCGCCCTTCTGGGTTTGGGGCTGGCCCAGTACTGGAAGCCCGGCGGATGGTCTCTGCCTTGGGCCCCACGGGCTTTGTCTCTGGCCATTTCATCAATGGGACTGTACCACGTCAATCGCCTGCCACTCCCCATCCGACCACAAGGCCTCTTCTACGGCTTGTTCTTTGTTAAGTTTGTCATAGTGCCTCAGATTGTCATGGTTCTTGTGCCTGGACTGGTTTATCTTTTCACGCACAAAAAGAAGAAAGACTAGTCTTTCACTCCTTCAAGGACAGTTTCTGTAAATACTTTAGATGTCTAGTTAATGAATTTCATGGCTACTCTTGTGGGTAAAGATTCTATTCACTCCATGCTGACTTTCCTTCTCACAATTCGCCAGGCAGGGGTGTGTTATTTTTGGAGAGTACATAAGGCATAAACGTGGGGATTGTTTCAAATGTTTAATTTACTGCACAGTTCCAGTAAATGTATATAACGATAAATGTAAGTGTTGTAAATACTACAGTATTGTAGTTTTCTTTGGGAACAGTGCAGTTTTGATGCTGCAGGATTTGAAAAATGTACTGGACAGGGTCTAATGTTACTTGAGATAAACAACTTGCACAGTGTCAGTCATTTGTACTCGTTATTAACAACATTTTAGCCCTGAGACCTTCAGCAGGTAAAAGAAGATGAAATAAAAGATTTACTTAATGAAGGTCAGAGGACCCAAATATTGTTTACAATGTTATTGATCCTACTTGACTTTCTGGTGTTCAATACCTTAAATATTTGTTTACATTGCATGAGAAAGGTCAAAAAAGTATTTAGTATTGCAACTTCATCAGACTTGTGATGGACAGTTATAAAGATCCACAGATATTGTGTTTTTCATACCACACATTCTTCCTTCTCAAAACCTGGCCCACATTACCCACAATGCAACTCAACCACCAACAGTTTGATCTGAGGTTCGGGTGTGTCATTCTAGTAGTAGCTACTGTAGCCTCGAGCTGTTAGCCTCAATCAGAGAGCGAGCTACAGAGGTCTGGTAAGCTCCCGCAGATCTTCTTTCATTTTCAAACTTCAAACTTCAGGCCTAACTGACACCGACTCGAGCAACATCACTTGAGGTTATCAGACTTTGCAGAGCCCCTGAAGGCTTCGTACACACCGGTTTTCCCTGTAAACAGAGTTTGATGTGTAAGCTGGGTGGAGTTCCCCCTAAAACATTCTGTGTAAAATTCAACAATTAAAAAACTCACATGGAACATTTCCAGAAATCATCGACCATCTTTAGGTCAAACTGCTGCTCATACTTGGGTTAAACAGATGTATGACAATGTAAATTACTTGAACATGTAACTATATAATGAAATCCAATGCAACAACACAATTAATTTGAACATTAATATCTTTACAAATGCAGTATTTTTGGGGGGGTTGTACTGGATTGCATCGTGTTGTACACACGTCTGTTACTCTATCGACATGCTGGTGTTATATGTTGTAAGAAAATTACATTTATATGTTGTATACAAATAATCAGTAAAATAAATGACTGACATGCATCGTGTGTTTCAGTTGGTAACCATTTATAAATATGTTCTTTTTTTCCAATACATAGGTTTGACTGTACAGATTACAATCAGTTATCATGAGATAAAAACACATTCTTTTTTATTGTTTTTAATTAAACTTTTTATCACAGCGATCTGAAAGCTCACATTTACAGACAAGAGAACTCTGCTCAGCAAGCAAATACATTAAAATAAAATAAAAGAACCTTTTTCGCTTTTGTCTGGTGAGTTTGAAGGAAAATGATAAGGATAGTTCAGGGATAGCAGTCTCCTTATCTTGATCCGAACATTGTATCACACACCAGAGGTCAGAACACTGCTATACATGTTTCTGCTTGAGCTCATGGAAAGAATAGAACATGCATCAGACTATTTACAGCAAACTAATATACACAGACAGCTTGAAACCATACACCCTCAAATATCCTCAAGTTAGAAGTCTCATTTAAATTAAGTATAATACAGTTTATACCTTCATTTCTGTAAAGATAAGTAGGGCATCTCTCTGGTAGCAGGTGAAACTGAGAATGGACAGGAGACAGTCAGGAGGTCTGTCTCTCTTTAGATATTCTTTATCAGAGAACCAAAATAAAATGTTACAGACAAATGGTCTATAACTTTTCCTACATATACAAATAACTTGAATATTCTCATTATTCCACTTTCTCTTTCACCCAAACTCCAAATATGGAGTTTCTGCGTATTGAAACCTCAATCATTCCTTTTTTTCTTTTTTTGCAGTAGATTCGACTTAATTTCAAGATGTGTGCAAGACCAGTTAATTAGACTGGCTACTTCAGAGTTAGAGGACTGTAATGGATATTTTTTAGGATGTGGAATACTTAAATATGATAGGCCTTTAAACAGACTTGCTCTACTATCGAACCCGAGCTGGACTGAAATATCTGAGTCGGTATATACAACTTGTGCTAGAAAGTCTATACATCTTCACCAGTTTAAAAACATTGTTTGCTCTTCATATTGTCATTCATCACTGCTTTGTAAATCATATAATAATAGTGTCTATGATAGTCTTGTATCACTGGTCAGAGGTCTGACTGATCACACACCCACTTTCTCCAAATTCAACAATCATAACAACAAAGTAAGTAAAATACATAAAGTGCACCCTTAGTTAAGAACTTAACAGGCATTTTTAGTGCAGAAGTGGCAGAATAAAAATGCATTGTGGGTAAAAAGAAACGACACAAAGTAATGCAGGAGAAAGGGAAACGTCTGTAACAGTGGTCGTGTATGCATTTGCTTGCTTTTAATCGCTGAGCACTATCCATGTTAACCCATCACTAGCATATGTACTGTACGTTCTACTCTCTCTCAGGAACATACAGCGTCATTGCGTTCGGAGGAGGGACAAAGGCGAACTTTGATACTCTTGCCGTATGATAAAATCACCTATGACAGGATTTTCTATTCATCATTTGACCAGCATCAGACAGTTAAAAGATGATTCAAAATCCCTAGAAACAAATGTATTGCACTCAACATCTATTTGTTTTTGTCTAATACAACAATCTGTCCTCAAAACAAGTTTTATGAATTCTGCAAAACAATCATATAAGCTTGTATAAAACTGTAGTAATTGATAAGCAGAGGGTTAAGCAAGTATTCAAAGCTGTCTATTAACAGGACGCTGGTCCAGTATGTCAGACTGCAGCCATGACAGTTGGTTTAACTTCACACTAAGGCATATCATGAGATCTGTGATACCGTAATGATACAAAAAGAAATTTAAAAAATAGAAAATTATAATGGACATATTTGAACCTCAGAAATGAGGTGAAGTTTCTGGTTTCAAACATGAACAAAAAGGGATACAAAAATAGAAATAGGGACCATGTGAAATGTCTGGATATTCGCTCTGACACCAACATTTGAATACCAGCTTAAAGCTTGACTTTTGTCCATTAATTGACTGACAGGAAATTAATAGCCAACTGTTTTGATAATTGATTAATAATTGCAGTAATTTTTCAAGCAAAAACATTCTCTGGTTCTAACCTCTCCAGTGTGAGGATTTGCAGCTTTTCTCTGTTTTTATATAATTGTAAACTGAATAACTTTCAAATTGTTCGTCTGACAAAACAAGAAATTTGAAGACTTCACCTTGGACTTGAAGGTTGGTTGATAGGGAAAAAAACCTATCAAACAATAATCTGCAGATTAATTGATAAAGATATTCATTGTTATATGCAGCCTTTGTTCAGATAATTCAGGACCTATTGTAGCATAGAAAGCATTTTCTTCCATTAAACCACAACAAAATATTTTTATTTTGACACAATAGAGGCAATTATATCATTCAAAGTTGGTCAATGTCCCTCATCCCTTACCCTGGATCGGTTTTTCCACATCCATATGACTAGCAGTGGGACACAAAGGCAGGGTTAACAGAATACAATTCAAACGCAAACTATGTTTTGTTTTATTTCTATGTACAATATATAACTTAATTATAAATATTGTCATTTTTCTCTAAGTACTGAGCTGTTGAGCCATTTGTATTTTCTGAGCAATGTACAGTATTGAACATATAATATTGTATTACATAGAATAGAGCCTACTAGCAACCTTGGTTAAGAGCACACTTTGAAAGAACAGAAGATGGATACAGAGTCCACAAGTAGAGTCCGATGATTAGTACTTTCACTCTTACAGTCCCACCTGTTGTGTTAACTTGTGGGAACTTTGTGCCACACAACATTTTGGAAGTGCACTGGTCTTTGATTCAGTATGAGATCAGAACTTAGGACCCTCCTGTTATCCTACCTGTGTGCAGAATATGATAATGAAATAATTGTTTCTCACTGTTAGTTATGTTTTTCATATAAGATAATGTCTAATACCCTAAATGTGTGTGTGTGTGCCGGCTGTGTGGTTTTCTCTCTGAATGGATCTCTCTTGTGAGTTCTTTAAGGTGAGTTTGTCCATGTCACATACACAAAGGTCAGCAGCATCTGCTGTTGAGCTATATATTTTTCTCCTCTCACTCCCACGAACAAGCCCAGTCCAACCAACCAATCACAGACAGACCATCACACATTCGACTCCACAAATGGTCTCTTTGGTTTGATGGGGGAGGTGGGGCCTTGGGTCCGGGAGTCACGCGAGAGCTGGCGGTACATGTTGTCCTGGTAGGCCTGTGCCACGGGCAGAGTCCTTGCCACCTTCACATCCGGGTAGGTGGGCACCTGGCTGACCCGCTCCAGGATGTCTCCACCGCCGCGGGAGCCGTTGGCCAGCTTGCCCAGTGAGGGGGGCTGGGTCTGGGAGTAGTAGTCCTCCTCCAACAGGTGTCCATTTTGGGCGTTGTTTGTCTTGTTGTAGTAGGCGATATTGCCCAGCGAGGCGGGGGGACTGTAGGTGGAGCCTTGCTGGACTAGCTGGCCAGGCGAGGTGGGGCTGATGGCTGAGTCCATGGACGTCATGGCCCTGGACCGCGAGGGCTGATGCAGGTACTGCTGAGTCCGCGCCGTCTTGTCTATGATGCCCATGAAAGGTGTGTTCCGAGAGCGTGTGGTCTCGCCCTGATACAGCCCCCCACCACCCTGGGAAGGAGAGATGGGAGAGATGTCATCACAGCTGCGCTCATATGTGGCTTGCAGGGGGATCTCCATCTGCTGAATGGAAGAGGAAGGCCTGAAGCCCGGCGCCAAATTTGAGGTGGATCCAGTTGAGATGTTGTTGCTTGAGGGGGAGAATCGAAGGCCTACGCTCTGAGAATGGATGAGAGGCCTGGGGGTGGGCACGTGCTGCTTCATCTCAGTAGTATTGGCACTGACGGGGCGTCTCACCATATGGGGGATCTCGGGAGAGCCCAGCTGGCAGGGGGGCATGGCATTGGCGCGCTCCAGTACGTGTTCAGAGACTGGGTAGTAGGCGGCTGACTGGCTGCGGCTTATCTGAGGTGTCTGGCTGTAACGGATGCCCCCCGGGCCCCCGCTGCTGGCGCGGTAGGCAGAGGAGGGGCGCTGGGGTAGATCATCCTTCAACAGGCCCGACTCCATAACCCCTCCTCGGCCGCCGTGCTGACAGAGGGCCCCAGAACTGAGGCTGGGCTGGACCTGGGGCATTGACCGTCCATCCAGGGAAGGCTGGTATACCAGCCGGCTCTCCACGTCTACTGAACCCCCTTGGTAGCGACCACCAATGGAGTGACCCATCTGGCCACCATAAATGCTGTTGCCCATGACATTACTGGGCTGATTTGTGCGGACTATTTGGGCTATAGAAGGCTGGAGACGAAGCCCTTGGGCTTGGTGGTGCTGGGAGGACAGAGAGGGCTGTGAGCTCAGCTGGAACGAACGCTGGCTGCTCATTTTAGAGAGGGGAGATTTGGGTCGGCCCGGGAGCTGCTCTGTCTGGTAGCGCACAGGTGACCCAGACTGGGACCTGTACAGACAAACACTCTCTACTGGTGGACTGGATCTGTACTGAGCTGCCCGACGTAAAGGGGAAGGCGGTGGGCTCTGGTGATCCATAGAAGGTGGGCTGAAGCTGTAGGACTGCTGGTGCACCGGGGAGGTATGAGGCGGGCTGTGTCGGTAGTGCGAGTTCTGATGCGTCGGGGAGAGGGAGGGCGATGTGGGCTGGTATGTCCCGCGGGTTGGAGAGGACATGGAGGAGGAGGTGGGGTGATATTCGTACGGCTGGCCCATGGGTGAACCTCCAGCTAAGTAGATCTGATCTGGATGTGTGGGGGAGAGCGGTGGGCTCTGGATGATGGGAAGGCTGGAAGGATTGCTGTGAGACTCAGGAGGGGGCAGACCCACAGACATTGCCTCCAGCTCCTGCTCCAGGTAGTCCTCATCCTCAAACAGGTCCTGAACGGGCTCCATGTCCTCCAGACGGGGCTCGGGGGGAGGGGGAAGAGGCATGGACATGGACAGGGACTCCTCCTCATCTGGGGGAGGCGTAGGAGGAGGGGAGGGAGGAGGCTCCAGCTCCAGGTCCTGCTGCTGGTGCTCCTCCTGGTTGAGCTGGTGACACTCCTCCTCCACCCTCTGGAGCAGCCGCTGGATCTCTCGGTTGTTGGGGCACTGCTTTATGGCTTCATTCAGGTCCTCTAAGGCTTCAGGAAATTGTCTGTAAAAAGGAGAATTAAAAATTAATATTATTTTTTAGGGGAAAGTCGTATATGTCTAAAATCCAGGATCTGTCTGTGCAGACATGCAGAACTGTATGGACAAATATTCCTGTAATAGTATTTCATAAAAGGAGTGTACCTGCTGCTACGCTTGGCGCGTGCCCTGGCATAATATGCCTCATACGATTTTGGTTTCAGTTCGAGTGCCTTCGTAGCAAATTCCTCAGCCATCCCAAAGTCCTGAGGGGGTTGAGCAGAAGACATATCAAAACAGGAAAAAATGGTCAACAGCATTATCCCCATTATGTTCAGATGTATGATAGTGTTTGCTTTGGTTGTTTAATTTGATAAATGTCTCAAAAGTTAATATAAAAGTCTGCTTTAGTAAAGTCCCTGAAACTGTGACATTGGCATTTTTCACCAGTCACCTGTCTTGGCGACTTACGTTCATTTTCCTCCGACATCGGGACAGGTTGAGGAAGAGTGATACTTTGAGTTCCCTGAATGTCTTGAGGTCCTCGCTGAAGCCTTCGCGTGGAAACTTTTTGAGGGCATACTGATAACGCTGCGCTGCCTCCTTCACCTTCCCCTTCTGTTGGACAAACAGAAAGAAGTCTTGTTATCCTCCCTTCACATTGAAATAAAAAGCTGATCTGAAACCTTCACAATATAAACAAGTTAGACAAAAATATGCATTATTTGTAAATTTGTCTGCTTGTGAGGAGAGACTATTTGGTTGTTATTGACAAAATTATGTATTTATTAAAATCCTGCATGCAGAGTCATAACATGTATAATTCTAAGACATTTAATTTTATAACTTGTCCACACAGATATACAAAAATATTTATTATGTCACATCTTTAATTAAAACAATGAGATCTGAGCTTAAGACTGCAGTGCCTGTTCTCTGACCTTGTAGAAGCTGTCCCCCTCCTCGATGAGTTTGCTGAGCAAGATGATCATGATGTCGGGTTTGGAGGTGGCCATGGCCCATGTGGCAGGACCTGAGTAACACAGGAAGGAGCAGATGAAAACAGAAACACAGTGAGAAAGACACATAGAAATAAGCAAAGGAGGAGGGAGGAAGGAGCGACTGGGAGTCACACTACATACAACATTAATAACAGGGATGAGGGACAACAGCCAAAATGGGGAATGGAGAAGAAAAGACAGGCAATCCACTGCAGAGAAAAGATTACAAAAATCTGCTCTGACACCTCAGTGACCTCGCTAAGGGGACATAAGACCTGGGTCAGATACAATTTGCCAATAATTATTATGTTTTCTTTAATCCTGCTGGGAGTTGCCTAATTAGAGTGCAGTATGAGCATATTTTGAATGATTATCCAATCGTTGATTAAAATGAACTGTAGCAATTATCTGCAAATACGTTCTGACCCAGGCAAACCCAGAGTAGATGTAGAGTACAAAAAAACAAACAAAAATAAATCACGCTGTCATGTCTGTCTATTGAGACACATTTTCTCTCTTGTCAAGAAGTGCAGATGTACAGTAATTCTTTGTACTACTGACTGATTCAGGGATGTGATCAAGAACAGCAGAAAAGCAGGAAAAACTACCAATAATCACAAATGGGGGTTGTGTATTTAAAAAAGAAAAAAGGAAAGAAAAAAAGACACTTCATCCCTGCAGACTGTCTTATGACTGAAAAATCAAACACAATCCCTTGACTAAAAACTGATGTGTCTTTTCTATATCTGCGCAACAGCAATCCTTGACACATGTACACACACACCACAGAGATGAAAAGGAGGGAGGGGGATCTTGCACAGGGAGACACAGGGCAGGTACAATAAACAAAAGAGGCAAGCAGGAGGCATATAACAGAGCTCTGCAGGCGTTAGCTGTCCTCTGAGCTGGTGGTGGTGGTGAGGGTGAGGGTAGGAATGCTGCTGACTGGCCTAGCTGACACTGAGGAAACGTCTGGAAGATGAACGATGCACAGTACAGTGGTTTATCACCTCAGTCTGTGGTGGCGGTGGTACAGAGGAATTACAAATACATGCATTTTCCGCTAAATCACTACCACGCAAGTGTTACTGAGGGCTTCCGTCATGCATCTGTGGAATGGAAGGTCAACACCTCGATACGACGTCACAGGCTGGAGGCCGGGCATGCTGTCATTAACCACTTGGATGTTAGCATCTACCTCTAGGCAATCCCGACTGCATCACTGTCAGTGCTAATACCTTTGCGTGTTATTATTTGTCAGTTTGAGAAGGTTTGGGTAGCTAAGCTCGCCTGCCGACACTTAGGACGACACAGACAACACAGAGAGAGGAGATAGAGCTGTCAAAATGCCTGGTGGGGTGAGAAGTCGACAGCCTTGGCTTTACCTCGGGGCCGACTGGGCAGCGTCTGACATCCTGGGGCCGGAGAGAGAGGCGGGGGATAGGGCAAGAGAGGGGGAGTATTGGGTGAGGAAGGGGGGAAAGGAGGAGGAAGGAGGTCATGAGCAAGGGAAGAAGTGTAAGTGGGAGGGCAGAGCGAGGGGGGGAACCAGAGTTGCCAGAGAAAACAGAGGGAAACAGCGAGAAGGTGAAAGAGAAAGAGAGGTGATGGCAGTGGTGGTGGAGGAGGAGGAGGAGAAGTGAGAAAAGGAACACAAAAAAAGCAGCAGTGAGAAGCGGAGATAAGTGGCTCAGCAAAAAAAAAAGAAAAGAAAGAAAAGAAAACATAGATACCAAAAAGAAACACCGCAAGCGCTAATAACAACCTGTCTCTGAGCAACCGCAGAGGAATAGAGAGAGAGCATGTGATTGAGGGAGAAACTGGGAGATAGCGTGAACGATAGAGACAAACAGAAGCACCGAGAGAACATGACAGAGATAGAGAAAGCAAAAAAACAACACAGCGGCAACAGTTGTACAATAAAAAGAAACACATCGGAGCCATAAATAGTTGAGGAGGAGAAGCACGATGCAGCAATGAGGAGGGGTGCGGATGACATACAGTAGCAGGAAGTGATTTAGGCTACATGGAGACACAAACCTGCATCCATGGCTTATTGCAAATGCTACAGTGCTCTACAATGACCAGCAGGAAGTGTGTACTTAATAGGAAGTGCACTTTCGTCTTTGGATTCTCCCTTCAATGTCTTTCATGCAACTCATGCTTGAACTCCAATGCATGACCTTTTCAACCAAAACACAATCTCAAATTGTATCTCATTTCGCTCGCAGGCAAATAACCTTTTACATGGCACTACAGGACAAGGATGCTGCACTTAGAAGAGGTCTTTTGTTAGCTAAATGGTTGGCTCTTCATTCTGTCAACCTGCTCTTACCTATCTTGGCTCCTTTCTTGAGCAGGGCGACCACCACCGATGTGTTTCTGCAGCCCACCGCCCTGTCGAGAGGACGCATCCCGCTGTAGTCTACATGCTCTATCATGGCCCCATGGTCGACCAAGAACTGGACCTGAAAAGAAAATGAGTGAGAATAGCTGGGGGAATAACCTATGATATGGTTTCAATAAACTGTATTATATCACTCATCTGCTCCAGTTAGAATTTCTTCTTTATCACATTAAGAGAAGTGCAACATCTTTCAAACCCAAATTGGCTCTTGGAGCGAGCGTTTGATGCCAGATTTTGTCACTTGACAGTGTTATACTGACACATTTCAGGCAGCACCAAACAATAATTAAAGATTCCCTCCAAACATGTTTTTTAGACACATACTGGAATAATAATTTGTGTTTGATGGTGTTTTTCCACAAAAATCAATCAACTACCTTGTTGAAAGTTCCTACTGCTCCTTATCCGACCTCATTAAAAAGTCCATTCTCAGAGGTTCCATATCACCTGTATAAGCTGGGTATTGACTGGGTAAAACACAGCAAAAGTCCGAGTGCAGCCCTTTTCATTTTTGGATGCCGTCTTTCCCATTGGCCGCTTACCACTTCAGAGTCACCGTAGAAGGCAGCCAGGTCGAGGGGCGTGCGTCCGTTCTTGTCTGCGTGATCTGTGGCGGCTCCACTCTCCACCAGGCAGCGGACGACAGGTAAATGGCCTTTCAGACAGGCCCAGCTCAGAGCGGTCAGACCCTCCTTATCCATCAGAGACAGAGAGGCTCCTGGGAAAAGAAATGGCAGCGATGACACTCTGAATTCTTTTATACTGCTAATTTTGGCATCTACAAGGAGATTTTTCCTTTTCCATGGATGTGTCAAATCTGACTCTACTGTTTGTCTTTCAGATCTGTGTTTGCATCCATTCCAAACAGTGAAAAACACACAGGAATTGCTGTCAAAAAACACTGAGAGCAGTAGCATAGTGATTGGAGTTAAGACGACATGTTTAACAGAGTAAATCAAAAGGATGCCCTGCATAAATCTCAGTCCTTTAAACTTACCATCCACTGTCATTTTTATTTTTATAATGCATTTCTTACATTACCTTCAGGCTCTGAATACCAAAGACCAACATAATTATTTCCTCAGTGATTAATTTACTGAACATCTGTTGAGCTATTTTATGTTTACAAGGTTCTCTTTGTATAAAGCCAAAACTGACCCAAAATTTATTCTAAACCAAAGTTTTTTCTCACCTTGAGCCAGTAAGAACTCAACAGTCCCCAGGTGTCCCTCTGAGGCTGCCATCATTAGAGGAGTACGCCCCTGCTTGTCAGCCAGGTTGACATCTGCGCCATGTGTGAGGAGTAGGTCCACAATCTAAAACACCCAAACACAGCACCCATGCCATTACATAACAGCGACTGGACGTCTTACTTGCCAAGTGTTTATGAGATGAAGAAGTTATAACTTAGTAGCAGGTGAGCCCTAACCTGCCAGTGTCCCTGTCGGACAGCGCTGAACAGCGGGACGATGCCTCTTCTGTTGGGCTGGGCCACCGCAGCACCCTGTTCCAGTAATAGACGACAAACCTCCAGCTTCCCCCGACCAGAGGCTGCAGTCAGAGCTGGATGTACAAACACACAATGAATCAGGGATGAGATAAGGAGCAACAGGATAAAACCATTGATTGCCTTTACGCATGGGTCTTTCACAGACTTGATTTTTGTTGGGGTTACCTATTAAATATTATTAATAACTATAACTGATTTTTTTGGGGACATTGCAAACACAATATTTCACATATCATCACTGTCACATTGTTTTTATATGCTTCATACATTTGATTGTTATTATGTAAAAATGCTTCAAACACAACATATGTTGATATTAATTTTAAAGTCTTGTTTAGAAGGAGGAGAGAAGAGAAGAGAAGAGACCCTTGAGACTTGGGAGCAAAGGCCTTTAAAAAGACATCTTCTCAAATGTAATAATTATAATTGGAATAATTTAAGCAGAGTGAACAGATCTTTTATAAGTAGAATGGTAGCAGCCCTAGAGGGGTGACCCTGATTTCAACTACAGCCCAACCAATACTGGAGTTTAAAAAACGTTTGATAGCTTGATAGGGATCCCTGAGTTGTTGTTGTTTGTTTTTTTTCATAATTATGACCAAGATATACTAAGCAGGAAATTTTATAGTGTAAAAATCAGCTTTCTGTATTCTTTGGTGGACAAACTAGAGTATGCAATGGTAACACGCTCTCCAAATGACCTTTTCTGTTCTTGTTTCTAGTTGGCTGATACATACACTGACACCGATATATCTGCAATGAGAAATATCAGCTGATTTATTGGTCAGGCTGTAGTTTCAACTTATTTATTCTATGCTGGGAGAATGCTTTGATCCACACAGTTCAGTAAGTGTATCTGCACATGGCGATATACATACTCTCCCTCTGGCTGTTGTTAAGAATAATGCATTTTCAGATGACCTATCCAGCAGCACTGTGATTACAAATTATCTTCCAGAACAACTGTCATCCCTCTGATCCCTTATAAACAATGAAACTACAGCTGAGTGAGTACCCCTCTTCAGCTGACAGTGAGAAGCTTTCCCAATACTGCATCCGGAGAATAATGCTCATAATGAGGTTTCAGAGCTTCAGGTTACAATAATACATTACATTTCTCAACACCCTGCCATGGGGTAACCAGACTAGTCATTTCTAAGCACCCTGGATCACACTCATTTTTTTTCCCCCTCCCCCTTCTCTGTGTGAGCCCAGCCCTGTCTGTGCTCCAATGACACCACTGCACTGCCATCAGCATCTGACGCAGCAGCAGCAGCAGACACACAAGAACGATCTCTCATATCCGCACTGCAGCGCTCTGCCTCGCACAGAAAAACCTTCTCAAAAAACACTCCATAGATTAAAAAAACACTGTCTGTATTGTACGTCTCAGTGCAGACTACAGTTTGTTTTTTGCTTTTGTCCAGGGGATTTCATGTGAGCTATTAAGCATTCACAGCCATCTGTCAGTATTGAATTCAGGGTTTTATTGGTGTAATGTCTGACTAAAGTAGGCATTCCCACCTGTCTCCCCCCACAGGGTGTCAAAGTTATTGATCTGTGCCCGCTCCACCTCCTCTTCATCTTTCTCTGGCAGGTCCAGCAGGTAGGACACAATCTGATGGGGGACAAGATTCAAGATGACACAGATTAATGTCCACGTTTACTTTAAATCTCATTTCATTTTTATATCAAATAAAAATGAAAGATAAAAAAATGAAACCACTTGTTATCATCAATCTACTTTTCTTTTGAATGTAATTCTATTTAGCGTAATCTCATCTAAATGGCAAAATTTTACATAACTGACATTCATCGTTAGCAACTACATTTACCACCAGACTTCGGTCAATCAGCTGTTGTAACAAAATAGTCATTGCTCTAGCCCATTTAAGAGCCTAAGTAGGATTTACCACATTAGGATAATTCATACATGGTTCCTTTCTCCTTTAATTGGCCCTTTTTACATTCCCTATTTGGGTGTAAGTGGTACTGGTACTCACATTTTGTGGAGTAAAACCTGTTACCAATATGCAATATGCACAGCATCACTAAGAAAACTAACCCCTACGCGTCTCTGCAATGAGCTGCAATGAATTATCATCAAAAGCTAACATTTGTCAACATTTTAGTGCTGTCTGATTCTTCTTGGATCCCTGTTTTCTCCTGTGACCAAACGAGCAGCTTTGGCAGCTGTTCTGGTATTAAAAATGGCTGACATGCTGCAACGCAAGCTCAAATGAGAAATTATAAGCTATTAATTATTTTATTGCATTACTGGATATATTGTATCAACAACCTCGGTGTAATTGCGGTGCACAAAGTCATAGGATGTCACAAAAATAAGTAAATCTAGCCTCTTCACATTTATTTTTCTTTCGCGGGCTTCAAAACCCAGCAAAAAGTATAAAACTTTAAAACTCCAAAAGGCACAATAATCAATATTAGTGTTGGAGTTAGAAGTGGTTTTGTAGCTGTAGTAGTTAAGGAGGTTATTTTAAGCTCTTAATAATTTTTGCTTTAAATCACTTAAGATTCAGAGTCCCTAATTGGGGCTGAAGAATTCATTATGACACACTGGAGAGCATAATAATAAAAACCATTAGACCACTTTCACCCCCATCGACCTCTACCCTCCCTGCTGTACCTCTGTGTATCCCATACTGGCTGCAGCGATGAGGGCCTGCTGGACTGCGTGGCTCTTGGTAAAGGCCGCTTGTTGTTGGGTTTGTGGTGACTGCTGCTGCTGTGGCCCCATGCCCCAGTCACACTGGATGAGGAACTTCACCACTTCCATGTGGCCCCTCAGGGCTGCATGAACCAGAGCGCACTGGCTGTTCTTATCCAGGTGGTCCACCTGTCAACGGGACATGGATTTAATCAGGAAAACAAATGGCAGGGGGAAATTGCACATGGGGCTACAATTTATCTCCCATTATCAGATAATACAGCACACCTCTCCCTCTCCTCATGCCATTTTCCTTCACACACCTTAGCTCTCCTGCGGCAAAGCGCAGTCACAATGGCCATGTGTCCCCCAGCTGCGGCGTAGCCCAGTGGCGTTAGGCCGCTCTCTGACGGAGCATCGACAGATGCGCCGAACTCGAGCAGCAGAGCCACCATGTCCATGTAGCCCAGGTGGGAGTGGACACACAGGACAGGGGCATTGTTCAGCACCTCCGTACGATAGTTTACATTGGCACCGCCCAGCATCAGCAGCCGGCTCACCTGAACATACACAGAATGAGGAAACAAAAAGTTAACATAGCACAGTGTGGCTTCAAGTATTGAAATATCCCAGTCCAGAGAGAGGAAGATTTCCGTGAAGCATATTTTGAGAAGCAGTCTTGATTTGGTACCCAGAACATGTTGAAATATTCTTCAAGTATGACTCGTCTGTGCTGTTACTGCCTGTACCTTGATGTTGGGAGTGTAGAGGTTTCGGAGAGAAGAAAGTGCAGCTGAAAGGCCCTCTGTGCTGTAGGATATCCACAGGCCTTGCAAGATAGATGAGGAAACCCCGACTTTCTTGCTGAGACCCTTGAACACAAAGATAGAGTGTAAATATTCATTACTTTGGAGCCAGACCACAGCTGTGTGGGGGCGTGTGTGTGTGCGTAAAGATGTGTGTGGAGACAAATAATGGTATACCTTGAAGATATGTGCTTTGAGGATGTGATGGCCCAGCTCAATAGTCTGCTGCCTGTTCAGCTTGTTCTCCTGCCGAGAGAACCAGAAGGCCAGTAGTGTGTGACCGCTCCTGCAGAGAGGACAAACACACAATCTTTCAATACTTCTGACTCATCAGGTCATTATATTGTGTTATCATCTGCACAGTTGGTGCAACCAGTTTTTAATTATAATACAGGAAATAAAATAAAAATCACATTTCCTCTGTTAGATAAACATAATGTACCTGCAACTAGAAGAGACATTTATTTTTATACACAGTTAACCACACAGTCATGGCTGTGGCTAAACCTGTTTTCTTAAAAAGTCTGAGCATAAACCATCTTTCTAAACATAAAGTATGATAGCTTCCAGAAAGAGTCCCTCCTCTCATTCTCCTGCCAGGCCTCACCTTGGATCGCAAAGGAACTTTGTCTTTTCTCCTTCTTCTCTCCAGATCAGCCACTCCCTGAAGGAGGGGTGAACAAACATCCTGGTACCATCCCTCCTCTTAACCAGGAAGACTGACAGGTTGTCTACACGTTGCTGGAAATCCTCCCAGTCCAATGTGCCCTGCAACCACAGACAATGTTTCATTGTTATTTGTTACCTAAGTCTGGGCCATGCTGATATTAGCCAGAAGTCATGGCATGGAAAAACTTACTGCATTACAAATTGCTTGTGGAAGTTCCATTTCTATAATAATGGATGAAATATTCACAATATACAAATCCTCTTTGTTTCATATTGATAGCAAGCTGAAGACTATTGCATCTTTTTGTTTTCCAGTAAAAATTGAATATGATGTGCATTTATTGTTTCTTTTCATTGTAATAAAAAAGATAAATGCAGATTGCCTAATTTTTTTTAAAGCCCCTAAAAACTTCTCTGTAACATTAAATATTCATGAGTAAATAAGCAACAACTGAAGTTAATATAAACACTGTTTATTATCAAATGAAACTAACTAACATCAGCAGTGTGTGTGTGTGTGTGTGTGTATGTGTGTGTGTGGATGTGGTCTGATCATATTTTAATAACAACAAAACAAGCCACCAACAGTATCAAACTAAATTTGTGCACACAAGTATGTGATATAATTTTTTCAAGTAAGGCCAGCTCATTTTGATTAAATCACTATTTTAGCTCAAGGATGGAGTAAAAATCACAAACCAGCAAGAGAATACTTCCCAAGTTAACTAAACCCACATTTAATACATCTAAAAATGTTGCTATATATGATGTATTTTGGTAGACTTTTGACTTATAACACATCAATTCCATTAAAGGGCCTTAAGGTCTGGAGTTTTGTATATTTTAGGATGACTACCTGCAGTGAACCAGCGTTGATGGCCTGATATATCTGCTCATCAGTCAGCGGGTGAAGCGAGGCCACGGCCACGTTGAGCAGAGGGAGCGCCCGCTCGAACGACGACTGCGTGGGGAAGCGCATGTTGCACTGCAGCAGGTACACCTCTGCCAGGTTGACTGGAACCACCTGAAGAAGGAAGGAGAGAACCTGAATCGTAATGCCGACTTCCTTTGGATGTACTCTACAGAATATGAATAATGCATTATGTTTGTTCAGTGCATCTTCAACTATTCCACGTGGTCTTCCTCAGAGCAGAGAGTGTGAATTTTTAAGTTGTAATTTTTTATGGAGTCTGGAAGCATTTCTGAATACATGAAATTAAATTAAGCTGGTGGTGTAAGATAAAATATTTCGTTATGAAATGCACACTAAAACAATTGAACTGCATTATTTATCAAAAAGGTGTTGGGCTTTGACTTTTAAAAAGAAGATTTTATGAAACTACTCTCACACAAAGCATGTCGGGGTGCAGATAAATGTATGTATGCCTTTCATGTGCTGCTTCGCATGCAGCACTATATTTAGTTTAGATCAGGGATTTTCAAAGTCTGACACAGCGGGCTCCCTCAGACAAAATTGAGACAAGTGAGTTCCCCTAGTTGCTATGGATTCAGTGAGTTACACTGTGGGGCTACAACTTGAGCCTATATCTTTTTACATTTTGGCAAACTGGCACTATTAAAAGTATGCCGAATGAGCTATTAGCAGATTATTGTTTGCAATGTAGCCATTAGTTCAGACCGCTGGATTACTTTGTTACTGAAGAAAACCTGATGATTTTCAAGCAAGTTCTGGAGTTACAAGAGGCATCTTTTTGTATGTGATTTCTTTGTGATGGACAGAGATAATATTCTTCAGAAAGAGTAAATCACACTGAATCCAAAAATATGTTTAGCATGTCTGTGTGTTCAGATTTCAGCGAGTTATGACTCCGAGTATGATTTCGGCAATCAGGCGGCAAGGGTTTTAAAATACCTTAACTGCCTTCATGAGCTGTGTGTCACAGCCACTTCTGCAGCTCCAACTGTTGACTGTGTTGGTAAGTGGGACAAATCAATGGGCCAAACTACAATAACCAAGTTCCAGCTGTTTTTTCGAACACGAGCACGCACCTGTCTCTTTCACTTCAAGTAGTGTCTTTCACCTCTCCTACGTGGCCCCCGGAGTCTAAGCTAAACCTGAGAAAGCCATTTCAAACCAAGCAATAACTCCTATAATACCTTATAGCTGGAGCTTTTAAGAACAAGGTAGCCCTTCTCGATGAGGTCAAAGGTGAGCTTGAGGTACAGGTAGGAGCCCTGGCTCAGAGCTTTGAGGTGGGCGCTGAGCTTGCCGAAGGTGGTGTTGTCCATCTTGCCGTTGAGTGAGATGTTGTTCTGAATCTCTGGGCTGCTGTGGATGCGGTGCAGGATGTAGCCCTGCAGGTCCTGGTCTATGGCGTCATTCTCCTCTAGGCCGTCCAGAGAGATGCGGTGGAACGGCAGCGCATTGGTAATCTCCTGAACAGTCAGAATCATTTCAAGAACTCGTCAAGAACTTTTTAGTGATATCTTGCCTACCTACTTACTCACTTAGGTAAAATGATTTATATAGAAGGTCAAAAATAACATATAACATGATATGAATAACTAGTCTTTTTCTTCCTCGTGAATGAAAGGTAAAGGGAGACAAAGATAGCAGAGATACAACAAAAACATTTATTTTTTATATCCTCTGCACAAAAGAGGAAAAATGAAAAGGTCAGAGACAGAGAGGGTAGAGTTGCATTCAAAACAAATCCAATATTTTCAGGTAGTGACCTCCAGTTGATGCAACAATAACCTGCTGTTAATGTTGATGTAAAACCCTCTTAGCTCACAGTGGTAGCCATAACAGAATAATACAATAAAGTTTCTGTTTGAGACCTTACATTTTGAATTAAAAATACATAACCTTTTGAGTTAGATTAAATATAAAAGAGCGGAGGAGCAAATACAAACAGTGGGATATAGTGACGTGGCTACAATCTGTATGCTTTCGTGTCATTTACCTGCAACGTGGTTCTGACTGTAACCACCAGTTTGAGCCAAGGAGGGAACTTGTTGATGGTTTTAGTGAGGAAGGACACGATGGTGTCTCCGTAGTCTGGCTTGTGGAACTCTGCCTCGTTCAGACCGTCAATGAGGATGATGAGGTCCTCCTCAGAGTTGATCTTCCTCTCTGAAAAATAACAGAACAGACACCATTTAGCAAATTTATAAATAAAAATGTTGTAATGAAAAACAATCTTTAGCTTGAAGGTTCCTTTTTGTCCTTGGAAGTAGCAGATTACTTACTAATATAAGTTGATGTTTCCAGAGCTTTTACCCACATTTCATGGCCTTCCTTAGCAGAATTTTGGAAACAAGTAAGTTGGACCTATTTTTTGTCAAACCTGCCTCTTGTCCTTAATAAAAGCTTTACATTTCTGGCTAAGCTGCAAGGTTATTTTTCACTTCCCATGCAATTAATCAATGATCACAGATTTAGTTTGTTATCTCTATTTAAAATGAAAACATGGGACGATATTACCCATGAAGCTCGGCTTTCAAGTTTGGAGGTTTAAAAAAAATTCAGTTCCAGCACTGAGATTAAGAACTTTGATCTGGAGTATATTGAGTACATTGTACACAAGAAGCATCTAATATCATGCACCAAGGATTCGAGTTAAAGAATAAATTGGATACTGAGGTCTGAAGAGGCATCAGTAGCACTGTGTTTGAAAGTGAGGCCAATAACTTTAAATTATTACAAATTCCAGTTTATTATGAATATTGTGAAAAGATTCCGACAAACAGAGCCAATAAATCAATGTTATACCAACTGAACAGCAGGCAGAAAGACTTTGAAAGGCCTTTTAACAATTTAGAGCTATAGATTACTGTAGTTCTGATTGTTTTTGTTTAAACATATGAAATGTTTTTATTCGATAGATTTTTCGCTCCAGGAGAGATAAATACAATGCAATGGTTTTCCTTTTAACCTTTGAAGAACGCACATTTAAAAGTCAGCTCATGAAATAAAGTTTACTCTGCACATCTATCATTTTATAGTGCTTTTAAAGTTTTTTTTTTTGCATGATACTATACTTGTTTTCCCCCTTAATTTCATTCTGTGAGTGCTTTGATCCCTGTGTTGGTGTATAAACTTCAATTTAAATCACTTTCACAAGCAAACTAACTTGAACAGACCCAACTAATACCTCCACTTTCTGGGAGTTGATACTGTTTTCGACTGCAAGTGTATCACCTTTGTAAAGTGCATCCAGGGGCTCTAGGACCCCCCTCCTGAAGGAGGCCAGGGGGTCCTGGACGCAGGAGCGCAGACTCAGGATGCTCTGTAGGTGTGGCTCCCTCAGCAGCTGCTCCCTGTAGGCAACGAGGTGCGGCGAGCGGCACAGCAGAGCCGCCACGTTGTGCACAAACTCCGGCACCAAGCAGGTGTAGGCGTTATCTGCCTGGCAGTAGTGGTACGCCACCACCTGGGGGCGACAGAGAGTTGGGAGAAGATTGCAGCCAGGTCACTCAGAGAAATAGAAAGGTGAATACTTCTATTCCCATTCTAATAATCCTAACCTTGACCAACCTTTGGGTATTGCAAAACTGATTGAAGATCAGTGTCAGGGAGCATGGGAGCCAGATGACACACTTTTAGAAATAACACTTTTTTTTAGGGCAGAGCTAGTTTTCCCAGCATCTACTACAGCTACAACTCATTTGGGATTGAGTCAACTTCATGGTGGATGATTGCAGTATAATGAAACATAATACTTCTCGTTTCGCTGTACGGTTTCAGCTATTAATAATTCATCGCTTCCGGCTGCCAAGAGAGACTGATTCGGAGTTAGCTCATGCATGCTCATGTGTTGGATGATTGTGGCACGAAGGAGTCAAGCGTTAAACTGTCATATTTCACAGCTACGTACTCAAACATGTTTAAATGAATGATTAAGTGAGTGGATAAATAAAAAGTCTTTGCATGGACATGTAGTGACGTTACAGAATAGTCCAGGGCAGGTAAGTTTTCCGAGAGGTCAGGCAACAAAACAATAGCAGCAGGTGTGACCAAGCGCTCCTGGAGAGATCACAAAGAGGTTGAATTTTCAGAGGCGGTGGCAGCGATCAGAGGGCAGTGACGAAAAGGGACTAATCAAAATGGAATGCAAATTTTTGGTCACAATGGAATAGAGGACTTTAAAACAAAAGGGGTGAAAAAGGGAGTGAGCTCAATTATTAATGCACAGAGTTAACAAGATCTAATAGCTTGGCTGGGAAATGGCTTTCTGCAGGTATAAATATTTCATAAGGCTCCCTGGCAAAGTTGTTTTTTCTTTTTTAAACACATCTGCATAATGCATCAGGCTGGGACTGGGGATGCAGATGGCTAAGCAGCAGGGGAGGGGGGCCGAGGTGCAACAGCAGACAGGAAGAAGAGAAGTAAAGGGAGCCGGTTTCACACATTATATAGGTTTACATTACAGGTTACAACAAGTTAAATACTACAGTTATATTGTTTGAAAAGCCAACATTTAACACAAAACCTTGAAAGTGAAAAAAAAGAGGTAAAAACAAAGCCCCAACTTATCTCTGCATGTTTTGAAGTCGACCACCTCAGGCGCAAACCATGTGTGAGTCCATGACAGCTTGCAGGTGGCATAAAACTTTGACTTTCTTTCAAAAGCTTGAAACCGTATCATTTTCACAGAACCTGAGCCGTGTTCGTACTTGTATTGTGTAAAGGCAATTTCAAAAGAGCAAATAATTGGCTATCCTACCACCTATGTTGTCACTAATTGAAAAAGAATTAAGACATAAAAAGGAGCCATTTAAAATTATCTTGCAAATTTTCAATTACAGACTGAGTGAAAATTTTACCCTGAACCACAAAAACAATGAAAATGACACAACGGAAATTACTATTATACAATGGCCATTTTAGTGACACAGCAATATTTCCTTTTAATAATCATGTATGTAGTGCTACTCTTTGATGAATAAAACACTGTGAGAGGACGGGGTTTGTGTACTTATCTTCTTGTCAATATATGCCAATCAACTCAAAGCTGAAAATGTCCTATTAAAATCTCTACAAGCACACTTATTTCTACAGCAACTGGCAAAACAAAAATAATATGATAATAATAATAATATGATAATTTGCATTCGAAAAAAAGACGCCAATGGGAGGAGAACAAGTAAAACACACACCAATCAACCTTAAGTATTTAAGTACTTGGAGACAAATGTTCCACTCACATTATTTTGGAAATGTGTGTTGTCTGGGAATCAGAGGCTGAAATGTAAATATGTGTGTGTACATGGTCACAGGTGTATCGGGTACCTGAGATGCCAGCCTCCTCATGGCTTCTTCCTGACGTCGTCTCATCTCAGGGGTCCCGGGACAGCTGCCTCCGCCCAGGGTGCCATGAGTGGGCTGGGGCTGGGTGAGAGGGAGCCCCTCTCCATCTGGACACAAGACAGCACACCACATTCATGCAATCTTTTCACACTGTTATTCTCACAACAAAGGCTGAGGTGAGATTGATTTTAAAAATGGAATTCAGGGCTGAATCATGGTCTTCAGTGGTAATCAGAAAGTCTAGAAGCAAAACAGGCTAAGAAATCATGCGTAGAAACAAGTGGATGCCTACGTTTGGGTGAGGCCTGAGGGCTGTCGGAGGCAATCTGCCTCATGCGGGTGCCGTGGCAGCTGAGCGCCACCAGACGAGATATGATCGCGGTCTTGCCAAAGCCGATGTTGCCTACTACTGCCACGCCGCGGTTGGTGCTGGCATTGGGACTGTTGAGATGGGCATCGATCTCCTGGAAGAGCCACTCGCGACCCGTGAAGACGGAGTCCATGGTGATGCTTGGCACCTCAAACAGCAGAGGTTTGAGGGCGATGTCTTGAGGCCGATAGGGTGCAAAACGCACTGGCGTGACATCAAGAATTGGTTAGTTTTATTACTGTTAAAAACCACATTTATGTACTTAGTCTCCTCATTACAGTAATGCATCTGGAAACTGAAACAGGGTGAGTTATGTATATAAAAAGTTCCTATACTAACATGCTAATAATACTCAATCATGGGTGCATACATACTGGAGCCTAATGATTAACAAAATATGTACAAAAACACCCACATATATATGCATAAGCAAATATTGCATAATTTTTTTCACATACAATATTTGTGTTCTCAAATAAGGAATATCTATAGTTTAAATGGAATGTTAGTTGCTTTCACTTTGACATTGCTGCATTATATGGCCATAAATTCAGCACCAATTTCTTTTACACATTTATGTACAACAAAATGTAAAATTTAAGGTTACAAATATAAAGATTAAAATAAAGGATAAACAATAATATTCATGTTATTTCTCATTGACATCCCTGAAAAAACCTAATAATCTACTGGAAAGTGCTCCTTCTGAGATTAAATATATTCTGATGATTGATGAATGATTTAAATGTAAAAGGTATATTACTGTGCTCCAGGATTCAGTAGCTAACTGCACCCTTAAAGCCTTTAAAGATATACGGAGGGGCGGGATATGAAATGTCCTCTACGGGTTAAATTTGAGCAGGTTTGGAAACTACAAAGCTAAAGATGAAATGAAGGGATAATATATAATACAGAAAGCAAGACAATTCATGCTTAGAGTTCAATGGGAGTGACTACTTCAACAGTCCAGACTTGTGTGTTTTAGATGCATTTTGTTGCAAAAGAAAATTTTCAAAAAGTCAAGGGGAGTGACTACTTTAACAACCACTGCCGACTGTTGATTTTACTCACTAGAGGGAGTCATTAAACTAAAGTCCTCCAGAGGTTGGGCATCTTTTCAACAGAACATATGGACCATTAAAGACTAATGAGGGTAAAATGAATCTGGTATGAACTTCTGAAGCCGTGTGATAAATTCAGTGTAAAATTTAGTCGGCTGCTTCTGGGTGTCATCTCCTGGGTGCCGTCTTTAAAACCGACTTGAGCTTTGAGAATAAAAACATGCTCTCTTCTATCTGGTGTGTCATTTTCTTTAAATGTTATATCAGCATCTGGTAATTAAGCCTGATTTAGAATGAGAGTGGTACGTGAATAATCCAAACACTTTGCTGGCAAGAGTGTGCCACTCTCGACTAGAGCACTTTGACTTGTAAAGCACTAGCCAGCAAGCAGGGCGCCAGGGAGCGGAACATGCCGCCTGATGCAACAAATGAAAATTAAAGTGACTTACGTGACTGGGATTGCCAGGCATGGGTGTTATTAGCGGAAGCTGAGACGAACAGCAAGCAAAAGACAGAGGGAGACAGAAAGAGAGTGAAAGGAGACAGAGAGTAATGAGAGAGGGGAGAAAGAAAGGCAGTGAGGACAGGAATGAAAACTGGCAGCAGTGTGCAGTGTGTCAGAGCACAAGGCAAGGTGTAGCTCAACAACAAAACCCACAAAAAAAAAAAGAGGAAGCAGCAATAGCATCAGCACATCATGATGTCAGAAATACGGGGAACCACCAGACCGGGGTCGATTCCTAATTGAAATCCTTTGAATTACATCAAGCTTATTCCTTAGCATGTCAGTCGGAGAGGCTGGGGAAGGCTTGCACTTTTGGGAGAATTTAATTGGTTCCATTGCGCCGGGCAAGATCAGTCAATCCCAATAAAGATAACTGAGTCCAGTTCTAGTAGTAATTCGACCCTGGATGAGTGACTCCAACCTAAACTCCAAATACTACTCTGCGTGTATTACAGGCTGTTAAAGTCAGCCACATTTTAGCATAAAGTAATCAACCTTGATACAAGAAAAACCTCAAATTTGTCCTCGGACAAGCTGTAAAATCGGATTTTCTCCTCAGTCTGTCTTTTGGTTCCTTTACTGAGGTTAAATTTGATCAGATTCTTGCAGTGTGCAGTGAGAAATAGCTGCTTTGTCAGATGATAGCCAGTGCAGTGGTTCATTTCACACTCTGCAGCATATTAGCAATGAGCACACTGTGAGTCACAGCTGTAAGAAATATGTATCATACATTAGACTGGTCCGATAAGGTGGTGAAAGCCTGCAGAATTTTTGTGTGTCGGCAGAAATTTCTATACTGTGTGCAGGTACAGTGCTGCAAAATGTATTAGGGGGGCAGGGAGGGAATGATTGTTGCATTAGAGCTGTATGTCTTCTGTAAACGACTCCAGTGTGCTGATTGGGAGCATTGCTACGTAACATAATGAGCTGATATTGCTCTTAATGTATTCTTTTACCACACAGCACTCCAAAGTGCTGTTGCAAGCAGGACTTTTTCCTTTTTTTTTTTTCCAGGAATGCTAATTATAATCGCAGGGTGAAAAGAAATGCGATGATCATGCTGAGAGGAATCCTACTTATAGAATCAGCAAAAAGTACAAACAGATATACCTTGAAGTGGGTGAAAAGCTGTCCTCATTTTATACCGAGAGCAAGGCCAGCACTGCATTTTACTGCACTAAGCTCTGTGCCAGCTGCAACCCGATGTAATAAAAGACATTTCATCCATATTCCCTGGTCAGATTATTTTACTGCTAACACAACAAACACACACAAATAAACACACACATTCAGAGAGAGACAAAGAGACAGAGAGTGTCTACTCTATTCTGTCTATAATTCACAAAACTGATGTAATTTTCTTCCAGTTGTGTGTCACGCTGTAAAAGAATGAACCTGATGCAAGACTGGTGATGGGATATGCAAAAACTATCCAATGCTGCCATTTACAATACCATAAGCTACTGAAGTAAGAGGCTAAATAGCCACAGCTACTCTTTTTTAAGTGGCGCTAATCCAATTATCTTGGGGGTGACTGAATGCCAAACGTGCCTGTAAAGCTCCTTCCGTCCTCGTGGAATTACTGAACACGCCCTCGCACTATCAGGCACCATCCTCCAAATGGCAGAAACGATTACAACGTTTTGTGCGCAGTAGGTCGTGCAGCCACTACTGCTCCACTGTGTCAGGTATTCCAGGAAAAACATGGCAGCCATGTTGTGAACGGGGGCTGAGGGAGTTGTTTCCGGGACGGTGAACGCAAATGTGTGTGCGTGTGTGTGTCTGTGAGAGAGAAGGATGGATGGATAGCAGTTGCTCATAATCCTGCCCATAACACTCCCCCTCAGGCGACGTTGAGCAAGGTATCACTGCACCTCCCTCCCCCTCCTCCTCCTCCGCCACCAACCCTCTATGGCCAGACGGAGTGAGAGTCTCAGACGTTTTAATTATTCACCAGGTGAGGATGACTCACGGTGGCTGAACAGCCTTGAGAAGGAGGAAGAAGAGGAGGAGGAGGATGAAGATAAGAAGCAGAGGAGAGGAGCAGAGGATGGGAAGGAGGGGAGGAGAAGAGAAGGAGGAGGAGAGGAGGGTACAGCTGGCACAGAGGTGGAGGAAGAGAGGAAACGATGGGAGGAGGAAGAGGAAGAGAAGCGGTTTAGATGATCAGTCTGTTGTGTTGAGAGGGGTCTGGGGAGTGCAGTGGTGGGTTATTTTAGGTCAGGTGAAACACTTGATGTAGGAGTTTGTGAATGTGTGACTTTTGTTTTTCTGCTGGCTTCTTCTGCTGTCTGGTTTTTCAGACATACAGTTAAAATTCCAGTCTTGTGACAGTGGATGTCGAGCTACAGCTAGCATATGCAACACCAACAGGATCTTACATAATTTCTGTTTTTAAAAAACTCTAATCTTACGTAATTTTCACAGTAGGCTTAGAGCAACAATAAACCTGAATGTGCTTATGACTAACACATTTCTTCAGAAAATGTACTTTTAATCTTTCTTCAAACTGTAATTTTAGCACATGCTATTTGACTTTCTTTATGTCTTGCAGCCAAGCAATGGAGAAAATGTATGTCAATCAATATATAAGATGCTAAAAGGAACCCCAAGACAGACCTAAATATCACACCTCAAATTCTAGACTGTTTAAATGAAAAACTACTGTTCAGATTAAGATGAGAGAACAAAACAGATAAAGGCGGTGTTCTCAAACAATGTGAATAACAGGTGATAAAGGCCAGATAATCATCTGAAACTCGTCACTGTCAGTTGAAACTTGCCATTGTCAGTTGTTTTGTTGCAAACATGTTCATGCACCATCATCAAATCTAGACTGTTATCTAACTCACTTGGCTATGACAGCAATAGGGGCTTCTCCTTTAGTCTGTGTTTTTGGTAAATGAATGTTTACTATAAACAGAAGTGTAATTCAAATTCATGTAGATCTAAAACTGTATTTTACAATGGATATTCATTAAGGCTGCCCTCATTCTATATTTTTCTTGTTGCCAACAAATCCCATTAAAAAGATCACACCTAACAATTAAGGATGTCCCGATTCGATCGGGGACGATCAAGGAATTTTTTACCTGATCGGTATCGGCCATATTGAGCATAAACCTAAGCCTGAGCCTTTATCTTAAGATAGGTACAAAAAGTTTTGTGCAGCAGCCTCACCCAGCAGCCGCAAAATAGGTGCAAAGTAATCCTCTGAGGCAAATGTGGCTGTCAAAGTAGGTCCACTAAAAGTGCAACTAACAACATTATGGAAAAGGATCCTTACAGAGACCTTTTTATTTAGGTAGAAACAGCTGTTAATATCGTGCTCTCTTTAAAGCCCTCAGAATCCATTGACAAAAACAGTAATTTTACCTTCAGAACACAGCTGCCTCCATCAGTTAGTGTGTTTTGTTGTGATTACATGACTCATTTTGAGTGTTCTAGTTGTACTACAATGCTAGTGAAACTATATAGAAATAAATAAAAATCGGATCGTGACTTGGTATAGGCAGATAATATGAAATGGCTCGGATTGGGGATTAACCTTTCAACAATATACAAGTCTTTTAATACTTTATGACTTCCCTGTCTGTGGCAGTCAGCGCCAAGCCCATGTGTTCCAACTGGAGATGTACAGTAAATATTAAATAATAAATATTTGCAAATATATAGCTCCATTTTTAAAAAGAGGCTCTTTCCTAAAAACAAGTCTTTTTTACAAACGTTACTCGTACAGGAGTAAATAGTGCATTTGTTGGGGAATATTTTCAGC